GAATGGTTTCAATAGATTCAAATCGTTCATATAGAACAATGTTTCACCATCAACTTCTTCCTCTACAACAAAAAACAATAAAAATAAAAAGAAGGTTCTGGTTCGACAATTCTCAAATTGTGAAAGTTTAGATCTTAAATCACAGAATTAGATTAAAAAAGAAAAAAAAAGCAGTATGCTTTATATCCTAGAAATGTCAATTTGCTTTTGTTAGTCTTGATGTTAGATTAACAACATGAAAATGATCTACTTTATATAAGTCAAGTCCTTTGTGATAATATTTTAAATTATTTGGTGAAACTATGTCAAGTCGATCATATGAGCTAACTCTGTAGCTCCATAGTTTAGTACTAAATCCATCAGTATTCAGAAGATCTACAACGACTATCCATTCTTGATTTAACTGTAATATATGAACTATTTGAAAAAATAATGGAATTTCTTCTACATGTTCTAAATCATAAACATAAACGGCATGTTGTTTGTAAATAACATGATTGTGAATCAGTTGCGAACATTGAAACAATGTTTGTGATTGAATAAATTGTTGTCCATATCGACGAGTGAGAAGAACCTTGATTTTTGAATCTATTTCATACATATGAATTATTTTATTACCACTAGCTTCTTCAAATGCTTTCAAGAATTGACAGTTGGACAATAAAAAGCATTGTCGAAGTTGTTGTCTTTGAGCCAATGTTTTCGGGATATTCTTGAAATTATAAGATTGCATAGCAATTTTTTTGAAATACAAATGAGCACCCTCATATCTCATACACCAATACCTTAGTGGTGGACCATTTTCCTCAATTATTTTTGTATACTCAGTAGCATAATGTACCTTCGGTGTTGCTTTATCTGGCAAAAGCTCTAACATCATACACTGAAAATTTATTGATAATGTTTCAAGATAAGAAAGCCAACTTTTTCGTTGAGGCAAAGCTAATATTATATTCAACATTTCACGCAAAATGAGGTAAATTTTAAATGATTTTAAATGCTCGATCATATCAGAAAATATGATTGGGAACAATCGAAACAGACAGAATTTTTGAGCTGCACTTCCAGTAATACGATCATTGTTTAGATGTTTAACTTGTATAGAAGGAGGTTTATTTG